ATATATATATATATATATTCCTTTCTTTGCCTATGGATATTCAATTTTTCCAGAATAGGCAGAAAAAGCACCATTTGTCCATAGCTGCTCTTTTGTACCATCACCAAAAATCAATCACCATATATATGCAGTCTTTTCTGGGCCCTGCATTCTCATCCACTGAGCATTTTGCTTATCCTGCATGCAGTGAGACACTGTCTCAGTTACTGTGACTTTAAAATAAGTAGTGCTACTCCTCCAATTTCACCCAACTTTTTCAAAGTTGCTATAAGTCACTTGCATTCCCATTTGAATTTTAGAATCAAATTATCAATTTCCACAACATCCTGCACAGGAAGTTCACCAGGCCTGTCTTTGCTCCTCTTCCTAAGGCCATACCTGGACCCCTCAAAGCAACACAAGGGGACAAAGGACTCATTTCATCTCTCGGGTATCTCTGCTTTCCCCTACCTGGTATCCAGAGTCCTGCAAAATGTGGCTTCGTGTTTTCCATCTTTCGTTGTTGTTTCAGACAGCATGCATCTCCCACCTGGTCTGGCAGGCATCTTCCAACTGGTCTGGAAGAAGACCTGTGGTGACAGTTTTTGAAGTACCATCCACTCCTAGGGCATCATCCTGAGCTGGGTACAGATAAGATGACCTCAGATGTCAAACTTCTGGCCATGATGGTGAGTAAGACATTGCCCAAACATAGCTGGGCCAGCCTGTGTATATATTATTCATACCATGTGATGGGTACACTAGTGAACTGTAGTTCTAAGGAAAAAGAAGAAGTTTCTGGGGGCCTAAACATTTTCATAAAATGATTTTGACAGAGGGATCTTGAAACCCTGCCTAACTCACAGGATCACTGCAGAGACTAAATGTGCAATGGCATGTAAAGTGTTCAGCACTATGCTTAGAAGTCCATGAAGAGTAACTACCAATCTTACTTACCTTCCTGGGACCAACCACCAAAGACACAGGACAGACGTTTTATAAGGGCAGCAGATGTTGCTCAGTGGGACAGTGCTGGCCTAGCCTGTGTGAGACTCTGGGTTCCACCTCCAGCATATTAAAAAAATGTCTGATTACAAACTTCAGTTTAAAAAACTACAAAAAACCCCTATCCACTGCTTTGGCAGCAGTCTTTGCGTCAACTACAAGTGAGCTTGGCTGTCAACTTCTCCAGGAAGACTCCAAAACCCAGCAACACTAGGCGTGGTGCCTTTTCTCTGAATGTTCTAGCTCCCTACCCTGCCCACTCTTAAAGTGTGTCCTGGCCGCCCTCCAGGCCTGCAGCTGCCTCCTCTGTCCTGGGATCTTCCTACATGTTGTCTCAGTATCCTTGAGCCAGAGCATAGCAGACACTCACAGCACAGTGGCCATTCGGCATGATGCTGTCTCCTCTGGGCCCTGCTCTTGGGGTGCCTGTTCCTGCCTCTGTGCAGTCTGCCCTGGGCTGCTGCTCTCCTGGGGGGTCGGAACATTCAGTCTGTGCTCATGCTATTCCTCCACCTCACTAGAAGAGTGTGCATCTTTCTTTCTTCAGTTACTCATACTGCCACGGAAGCTCTGTGAATCTCCAGTTCTCCTCCAAGTACCTCTTACTTGATGTGACTTGTCTGGGCCATGCGGCCAGAGTTCACAGTGACAGCAAGATGGAGGCACCAGGAGAAGAAAACTGGGGGGTGGGGAGCAAGGCCTGTGAGGTGCCACTTCCAGGCTGGACTGGACTGGAGTCCCACATCCTCCTACTAAAAACACGAGTGGGCCAAGGTGACAAATTCAGATGCAAAATCAAGGCATCACAGAAGGCAAGAGCTGGAGGAGGCATCAAGATAACAGAGCTTCAGATTTTCTTCTAACACAGGTTACACACACACACACACACACACACACACACACACACACACACCCCTGAGTAGCTGGATGCATTTCTGAGGACTCCCTGGATCTGGAGGAATAAGAGCAGAGTCTGAACCCACTGGGTAGACTGGATATTTCCACTGTGAAGGAAGTTACATGGGGACTTGAGAAGGTAGCCAATCTCAGAGCTCCCGCGTTCCACTCTTTTTATTAATTAATCAACACTGCCACCTTCCATCGAACAGCAACAACCGTTCTCCCCACATGTACCTCTGCCTTCTGGATTCAGAGCTGCAGAGATCTCAGTGTGGATCCAGGTTTAGTAGAAGTGTCACTGGAATAATCATCACTCTGAACAAGGAAAGAGAAACACTTTCAGTTTTTCTCGGAAAGCAATGTCTGTGTGTCATCCAGACCGAGAGGGTTGGAAAAGACGAGAGTGGAGAGGACAGCTCTGCTCAGAAGGCCACAGCAGCTGGCGGTCCATTTTCGTCTGTGCATGGATGGTTTTCTAGCACCATCCAGTGGCACAAAGCAATACTGATGCTGAAGTTTAAAAATCAGTTCTGCCTTCCTTTCATTATTTTTTCAATGTCCCAGTGCTCATTCAACAGCCCCTTAAAGAGAGTTGCACTATTTCAAGTGTAGTATGAAAAGCTTGGAGAATCCTTTTCCTGATCTTCCCTCCCATAATTGAAACTATTGCTGTCAGACATTTTACTTTTACCTCTGCCAGAATATACATAGCACTTTTATTTTTACTTCGTACAGCCAATTATTTACAGTCGTTAAAAAATGACAAAGATGATTTTTATTTTCATCATCTCCAGAGGTCTTCATTCCTGGCATAATACATCAGTTTCCCTCTATTAGCATATTTCTCTCTCTGGTAGCAGATTTTTGTCTGACAGAAGTTCTGTCTTTAACATAACTTTCAGTGCATTTTTCAGCTCTCAAATCTGAAATGTCTTTATGTCTCCTTCAGCTTTCAAATGGATCTTCACTGGGCACAGGATTCTGGCCAGATTTGTAGTTTTTTCTTTTCTTTTTCTTTTTGATTAAGCACTCCAGTGTCTGCTAGCTTGCATGGACCCAGCATGGGTTCTAATTTTTCAGATTTTCTGGAATCACCTATTGTGAAGTCCAAAAAATTTTATCTTCAGCTTTCTGTACCTTAGATGGAGAAACTAGGTGTCTCTGGATGTATCTTAAAATTATGAATTTTGTTTTTCATGTACAAATTTAAGGTATAATCACTGCAAAAAAATTAGAACTTAGAAGTTATTTTTGTAAAAGATAAAATCAATTAGAAATCATTTCATACCAACACAACTTATTGAGCATTTATTTTTCCTGTTTCAGTTCTAAGCTTTGGAGGAGAAAGCTGTGCATATGAACCAAAAAATTGTAATGGAAGCCCCAGTAAAGAATCTGAAGATAAAAAGGAGCCCCGTGCCGGTCCTAGTGGCCAGATCCCAACCTCGCGCTGCAGGTCAAGTCCATGGCAATACCGCCAGGCAAACTTAACGAGGGCACCAGTCTTTGAGACAGATTTCCTGGTCCTCCCTCTTCATCTGAAAGTAGAACGCTTACTGCTGTGTTCCAGTGCCGGAGACAGTGCCCAGCTCAGTGCCATAATTCTGTGTTATGAAGTCTGTTACCATAGACTGCCTCTGTGTTTCTTTTGCAACTAATGATAAAGCCTCAAAAAGATTGTGTGGCCTTTCTGCTGGTTTAGTCCTTGATGGAAAACATGAAATAGGCCCACCAGTTATGTCTCAGCTGATGACCAGCTAGTGATGTCACACTTCTCAACCGAGATTCATGCTGTTTGACAAACTACATTATTAATTCCTTATTACTTTTAGATGTAGCCCTAGCAAAAAGAAGTAAATAGGGAAATTAAACAGGCTGAGGTAGCGCTGACGTCACCACGCTAATGGGCGTTCCCCAGCCTTCAAAACGCAGAAAGGAGGGGAGGAGAGTGGGAGCAGGAACAGCAAGAAAGGGAGAGGAGAGAAGGGAAGGGTAGAGAAGTAGGAGGAAGAGAAGTCAGAGTGCCAGAGGGTCTCCTCGGCCGTGCCCGCCCCTGCAGGCTGCGCTCCCCGCCATCTCCGGCGCCAGTGG